CATTTCAGCCAATGTTCCATTCTATGTTCTTATATCAAATAACAATTTACAGATATGCATATGCCAAAGCCATGCTAACATATTACATTGACAAATAAAAGCTAGTACACATCATTCAACACTAATTTCATGTACAGTTCCTTGTTTCATGTTGCATTATGACTGCATACCATTTTGTTATACCAGCTTTTTTTGCATTAACATATGCTCAGGTTCATAGATTAGTATATTGACAGTCCTAGCATTTTCATATGCAGCCTTGTGAGTCTAACACCATTATTCCATAGATGTAGTATATTGTTTCATAGATTTAGTATATTGACAGTCCTAGCACTTTAAGAATATCAAAAACGGATCTATACTACCAATTCTACAAGTATATAAATTAGAATATCTGTAAAAGTACCAATCAACTCATTTGAGTGACCTAGATCGTAAGCCAAATACATTGACCAGATCAGCCTAATGTCTTCACCAAATTATTTTAGAATAATAATTTGGATATTTATTTACAGAGATACATCAACATTCATCTTGTTCTCTCACCTTCAGCATTCGCACCCCTTCTTCAAAGGTAAGCCGTAAGGTCTTGCGCAAATACTGCATATTCAAAATTTATTGAGTATCATTGAATAAATAAAAACAAGATAATAAATTTATGGATAGACGAATAGCACCAAGATAATGGACTACCCCGAGGGATAATGCATTTTCTCAATGATTTTAGATCACTACTACTTAATATAACAATAAATAATAAACATAAAATTAATCGTGACTCAACCTTCAACTTCTGAAAAGGATATTGCTTATTGATAAATTCAAGCTCCTTAGAACATGTCTCATTCAACCTGTCAAAGATCGCCACAAATATGCGATCCACAACATCCATCACCTGCAGAAATGATCCCAGGTCATATCTCACAAAACCCAATCTACACAGTAGGTTGAAGCAAAGAAAAAATGATGCATACTTCTGAATAGTGCTCCTTGATCTGCATTTCTACATCAAGACTTGTGAATTCACACAAATGTCTGTGTGTGAATGAGTTCTCTGCCCTGAAGACTGGTCCGATCTCACATACACGGCCAAAACCACCACAAATAGACATTTGTTTATGAAGCTGAGGTGATTGTGCCAGGCACGCAGGTTTTCCTTTAAAATCTAAACCAAAAACAGCTGATCCACCTTCACTAGAACCAGCAATTATTTTTGGCGTGTTCATCACCACAAAGCCTTCAGACAGCAAGAACTGCCCAAACATCTGCACGAACATGTAATGACAGTGAGGATCCCAACAACGCCAGAGTTCAGACAACAAAGCCTTCACATACATACATATAAATTTATAGGTTCTTGAAATCAAGACTGGGTCATTAAGCTATCAACTAGCTTATTGGCTAGTTCACCAAACATAGTAGGTCTGCATTACTTGCAAGATTCCATAAGGATCAGAAGTTCAAACTTCAAATCCAGACAATAAGATTGGAAATATAGAAAAAGGAAAAAAGAAAAAAAAAAATGAAAAAAGGAATATAACCTAAACACACAGTAAATAAAAACAAGTATACTTACAATCTGAATATGAGACTTAATTCTGAAAATAGCCTGATTAGCAGGGGTGTTCAGGTCATGAACTCTATAATTCAAACGAGTGTCCTGATTTACACGCACAAGCTGCTCACCTGCCTGCATTCAGAAAACACAAATCAGTTCCGAGTGCAATGTTGTACTAAAAGGACAAAGAGATGCCTATAAAAATGAGTAACGTGTGCATAAACATAGGAAAGTACCTCAAGAGCCTTTTCTATTTCGACTTCACTTCTGGACGCATCCTCAATATTGAAGGGCAATGTGGGACTAGCCTTGATCACACAATAAAGCTTCCTCACTTGAATCTCCACCTATAAGAATCAAAACCAAATATAATATAATAGACTAATAAAGTGCAGGAACATGATTGCATCTCTTTGCTTAAACCACGATTTGATAATAGAACAGCGAGCAAGTATCAAGTAGCCAGTTTCTTAAAATGCACGACCGTGGTTGTATCTCTTTGCTTTAATTTTATACCATAAGGCCACATATAAAATGCAAATGCAACAAGTAGCCAGCTTCAAGAGGAGCCACAATCACCTAAAACATATAAGCCACACACAATAAACCAGAAACACTTCCAATACTGCGATGAAGTACCTGTCACCAGGTAATTTGACATGTTATCTAGTAACTATGGCCTATTTTAATTCCCGTCATATCAACAAATGCTTTTAAGCATCAAGAAGCTCATCTACAGATCATGTGGTGACTTAGAGTTCTGCAAGAACAAGACATTCAAAGTACTTCATGTCCTCTCAACAATTTTCGACACAAGCATGAAAAACAAACACAAAAGCACGCTAAAACGCTAAAACCTGCTGAGTCGTGCCACTGATGGGCTGTGCCGGCACGGAGACAATCCCTTCAGCATCAATGATACTCTCTCTCCTCAGGCGAGTGGCGAACTTCACCATCTGCGGGCTCACCAGATCTTGCGCCACAGTCAAGACGCACTGGACCGTAAACCCACTCTCCCTCACCACCACAAACGCGACCTTCTTACCAATGGCCCGGACCGCCTGCGCGGCCCCCCGTATCAGCACCTCCTCGTCCTTCATCCCCGCGGCCAGGTCCTTCACCTCCGTCCACTTCTTCCCGGAGATTCCCTTCGACAGCAGGTCGTTCAACGGGATATCGCCGTAGTTTGCCGCCAATGGGTCGGCTTCGATGGTCACGGAGGATACTGCGGCTGCGGCGGAGGCTGCGGCCGCCTCTTGACGCTTGCGCTGACGCTCTAGCTTGGCGAGCTCCTTCTTGGACTTCTCGCGTTTCTCCTCTCCGGGAGGTGGGTTGCGGGATGGCTCCTCCGACGACATGGGTTGATACTAGGGGAGTATATTTGAAAAAACGGGTGTGCGGGCACAATTTCGCTTTTGCTAGGGTTGCAAAAGTACTGCTGGCATTGTTGTGGACACTCAAGTTAAAAGGTGGCATATTTTCATATTTTCCTTAATTTTCGTTAAGGTCGTATTTGTACAATAAAACAAATGTAGCATTTTGGTATTGGTTTGTAATCATAGTACGAAAAGTTGTGCACATGAGGTGTTGCTTCAAATAAAAACTAGTATTAGTGTGGGAACCGTAAAAATTATAATTTGATGCTATTTTTAATTATTTATGATGCTATTTTTAATAAAATACAGTTCTATCATTTTTACAAATATTAATACAAATTGTGTTGCTAATTTTTTTAATCAAAATATATCCTAGTTATAAATATCCCTAAAACATAATCAGTCTTAGCACTATAGTGGGTCTCACGATTCTCACGCTAGGACTTGGTTCTCATTTGAACCACATCATGTCTAAATATTTTTTTTTTTAATATAAACATCCCAGATTGGTATGGGTGGTTGAGACTACACCCCCGACCTGTGAATATACGGCCCAGCTAGGGCTAAGAAAGTCAATGGTCTACAGCCAAGTCAGAAATACATGGAGCAACAACAAAAGCAGAGAAAATAGAAAATAAAAAGAAAAATAAAAAACAAAAACTAAAAATAAAACTACAAGGGTCACAAAAAATATGCGATGTGATCTAAAATCGAGTCCTCATAAGAGGTCGGCCGAATCTAGTCAGGGGCAGGCGGTGGCGGTCGACCGAATCTGAAGGATGGGTACTCTAACTGGTCCATCCGAATGAGCGTCCGAAGCCGGAGGGGAATGTCCTCAGGAAGGAGGGTGCGTCTCTGGGGTAT